TACTGAAAAATGCACATTCCTGGGCCAAACTTCAGGCCTACAGATTCATAATCTCCCAGATGATTCTTGTGCTCACTGACCTCTGAAAATAACTGCATTGTTCAGCTTTGGGAGATTAGAGGGGATGAGACTTCTGTTTCTAGGTTTAAATTTTTCTATTCCTACTTCTCAGAAGAGGTTTCTGATAGGTTGTTGCTGTTGGGTGCCGATGAGTCAATTTCGACTATAGCAACCCAGTGTGACAGAGTACAACTGCCCCATAGGAGTTTCTTGAGTGTAATCTTTATGGAAGCAGATCTCCAGTTCTTTCTCCCGTGGAGCCACTGGGTGGGTTTGAACCCTCAACCTTTTGGTTAGCTTTTTGGTTAGCTAAGCGCTTAACTGTTTGCACCAGCAGCATAAAAATTGACAGCATAAAAATCCCATGGCACCTTTCCAATAGGTGGTTGTTGCTGTGTGCCGTCGAGTTGATTCCAACTCATGGTGACCCTATATGACAGAGAAGAACTTCCCCATAGGGTTTCCTAGGCTGAAATGTTTACAGAAGCAGATCGCCAATTCTTTTCTCCCATAGAGCAGCTGGTGGGTTTGAACAGCCAACCTTTGAGTTAGCAGTGAGCGCTTAACCATTAAACCACTGGGGCTCCTTTCCAATAGATTAGCAATGCTTAATGAATAGTTGTCACACAAGGTTACACACAGGGCTTAACCTGAAGCATAAAGTCAGGTAAGAATTCTCCCTATGGGTTTGGAGAATCAAATAAAAGCCTTGAAAAAATTAAGACAATGTACTTTAAAGAGGGTAAGCTAGCCTGTGACTTTCGAAGAGGTGACTGAGGAAAAGCCCAGGAAGTCTTGCTTCAGCGGCACAGAGTTGCTTTCCTTGTAGTCTCCACACTTGGCTCAATAGAAGCCACACACCGAGGCTTATGGACTGGAACTGTCTGCAGATGTATCGCCTGCATGATGTTGAAAACAATTCTGAATCATATCTCATTTAAAAATTGGAAGTGTTCACGTAAGACTGGATTTCTGGCCTCTCTTGATAAACCCCCAAATGTAGCAGCGGGTACGTCTTCTTTTCTGAATCAGCAGTTGGTGAGATTTTAGTAGATGCTGTCTGTTGTGTCCCCTACGCCCGTCAAATTCATATTCCGATAACTCCATTTTTCTGACATTAATCCCTTGCTTTAAAATTTTTTACAACAGTCACCATTTACTGAGTATCCACTGTTTTAGGCACTTTTACATCATTCTTTATTTCATGCAATCTTCACAAGATTCTACAAGTTAGGCACCAATGGCCCAGCTTCGTATTTGAGTAAGCTGAGACCCAAGGCCACACTGATGGTGAGAGACAGAGTGAAGCTTCAAATCCTCATCCATTTAACTTCAAATACCAGTGTTTTCCCACTTGACCTGCCTTTCTCAAAATCAGGTACTGGTGGTCCTTGGGTTTACTCCAAACCACGGACGGAGTAAATAAGACACATCCTTCAGGAGTATCAGCGTTTCTCAGTTTGTGGCAGGAGATGCATTCTTTTTAGAAATTCCTTCCATCCATGCATCCATTCAGCTACTGTGTGCTCAGTGGATAATGAGTAGCTAGAGAGGGATGTTCTGCACAGAGTGGGGCCCGACATCAGCAGCGGTTGAAACTCCCAGGGTGATTCCAATGGGCAGCAAGGTTGAGAACCCCTGCTGTACATGAGCAGCCCATTATGCATCTGACCTTATTTCCTATTACTCCCCCTGCCCCACACTCACTTTGTTCTAGGTATACTGGCCTTGCTTCATCATGTCAGGCATACTTATGCTGCCGAGTCTTTACTCTAACCAGTCCCTTTCTGAAACTCTTCCTCTATACAGCCCCTTGTCTAACTCCTACTCTTTCCACTTTACTTTTCAATGAGGTCTATCCTGACCACCCTACTAGTACTGCATACAAGATTTTTGATCTAAGTTTATTTGTTCATTATTTGTCTCCATGCTAGAATGTAACCTCTATGAAGGCAGAAAACTTTGTGTATTCATGGACTCTAAGCACCTTGCATATGTTTAGAATTATCCAAAACTTAAGACTGTGTGACATTTTATTGTCATGCTGGAAATGTTGCTGAGGTGGTAGCCACTAGTTATATGTACTACTGAACACTTGAAATATAGCTGGACTGAACTGAGATAAGCTATAAAATACCTGCTAGATTTTCAGGGTTTAGTACAAAAAAAAAGTCTAAAATACCTCAAAATTTAAAAATACTAACATTTTGAAATATTTTGGATATATGGGATTAAATAAATTTATTTTTTTTGTGGGTACTAGAAAATTTAAAGCTACATATGTACTTGTATATTTCTATTGGACAGCACTAAAGGTATAAATTTAACATGGTATTCACTATTAATTAGGGCCCAGATGTCTTACAATCTATTAGTTTTCTTACCATGCCAACATCAACCGGTTTTGTATTAAACCAGTGATCTTCAGTATCCCTCTTTTAATTGAAAGCACAAAAATCCCATTTCTTGTATTATTGAATTTTGTCATCTTGTTGGTTCCCTTATTAATGAGTTAAATAGAACTTTTTGATGTGTGCTGTTTGGTGTGAGCATTACGTTATTAACATTTTGAGAATTATGTTAGCACTCAAATATCTGTTTAATGAATGGGGGCTGTTGCAGTAATCTTTGGGAGAGTCTTAGTTGAGGTACATACGGTCCCTCCAAGTGGAGACAGCCCTAACATGAGGTGCCCTACGATCAGAAAGGTTAAGAACCTTGCTCAAGGTGCATGCCACCAAGTGGCTTGAGTCAAGGCCAATGTTAACCCCATTAAAATTTAGCTGTTACTTTTAAAGTGCTTTTAATTAGCTCATAAGGATTTTCATAACTCTTGTAAACAGGTAGGACTTGATTTTCATTTTATCATACAAGTGGGCCCAGATAGATTGAAGCTTCTTTGAGTTTTAGGCTCCATAATAAAATTAAGATCAGAGCTTGAGTTTCCAGACCCCAGGTGATTTGGGGATATGCAGATGACACAAACTTGTTTGCTGAAAGTGAAGAGGACTTGAAGCACTTACTGACGAAGATCAAAGACCACAGCCTTCAGTATGGATTACACTTCAACGTAAAGAAAACAAAAATCCTCACAACTGGACCAATAAACAACATCATGATAAACGGAGAAAAGATTGAAGTTGTCAAGGATTTCGTTTTACTTGGATCCACAATCAATGCCCATAGAAGCAGCAGTCAAGAAATCAAACGTATTACATTGAGCAAATCTGCTTCAAAAGATCTCTTTAAAGTCTTAAAAAGCAAAAATGTCACTTTAAGGACTAAGGTGTGCCAGATCCAAGCCATGGTGTTTTCAATCGCCTCATATACATGTGAAAGCTGGGCAATGAATAAGGAAGACCAAAGAATTGATGCCTTTGAATTATGGTGTTGGTGTGCAGAATATTGAATAGACCATGGAATATCAGAACAAATCTGTCTTGGAATGAGTACAGTTACTATGCTCCTAGAAACAAGGCTGGCGAGACTTCATCTCACATACTTTGGACATGTTATCAGGAGGGACCAGTTCATTCTGTGGAGAAGGACATCATGCTTGGTAGAGGGTCCTTAAGTGAGATGGATACAGTGGCTGCAACAATGGGCTCAAGCATAGCAATGATTGTGAGGATAGCACAGGACTGGGCAGTGTTTCGTTCTGTTGTACATAGGGTTGCCGTGAGTAGGAACCAACTTGACACCACCTAACAGCAACATTCTAGGCTCCAATTTCACAGAGGCAGTCAGCCCCATACCTTTGGGTCTGAGGATGTTGTGCGCTGTCAATTCTGACTCATAGCAACCCCACCGGACAGAGTATAACTGCCCCGCAGGGTCTTCTAGGCTGTAATCTTTAGGGGAACAGATTGCCAGGTCTTTCCTCCCAAAGAACACCTTGTGGGTTTGGATTGCCGACCTTTTGATTAGCAACCGAGTAACCACTGTGCTACCAGAGCTCCTCTGAGGATATCCTCTGAGGATAGCTGGTGCTTAACAAACATTAGTATTCCTACTACAATCAGCATCAAACTATGCTTAAGATTTGGCAAGGCTTAAACCATAAAATCTTCGTGCCTCAAAGCCCACACAGCTGGGGGGCAGGACAAGTCAGAGGCTTGGATGCAAAAGTGGTATATTCCAAGTTCCTGAATGTCTTAGCTTTCAGTAGGCTCCTCAGACAGACCTAGGCATCTCCAGCAGCTGCCCTCGCCTAGCTTTAGACACAAGGACATAAGCCAACAGGCATGTCACAGTCTGTGTATACGTAACAGTCCAGGGATATATCTATGCCCCAAAGCTTTCTTAATAGCATTAGCCATTTGTTGGTTTCATTTTTTATCTTAAAATATTCTGACACACATTACAGAGATTAGGTATTTATCACAATTTGAGATCACATGCTTTTCGGTTAACGAAGAAAATGTTAGGAAGATACACTATTCTGGTCTTCCATTTTTTAGTCAAAGATCTCTTGAAAAATTCACTATTTGTACAAAAAATTACTCTAGGTAAGAAAAGCAAAAAGGTGAAGGTTTGGCTACGTTAACTTCTTCACCACCAACTGAATAACCATCACTCCAAAATTTACAGCTTGTAATACAACTTTTATTAGAAAAGTTATACATAACACAGCCATCAACTATTTCCAAGAACAATATTAAACCCGATAAAACAATAAAAACAAGACTAACAAAATGTGTAACGAGAAACTAATGACTTTTCTATAATCATTCAATTATCTACAATGTCTTTTTACAAACGGGGAAAATCCATGGTTTACAGGTACATCATACTGAAAATAAAGTTGCAATAGCAATTTTATACAATTATCATTCTCAAGAAACTGAATCATTAAAACAGTAATTACGAGTTTATAAATTTAAAACATTTCACATAATTTTACATTATTGGGTATACACTTAGGTCTGAGTTTCAAGTGATTTTTTTTTCCCACAAAAGTGCCAACACTTAAGCTAGAACTTTCAGTGTGATTTTGCTCTAAAAAGTTACGACGTTTTGATAACCATAATAGTCGCATAATTTCTGATGCTATCTGGTCTTTTAATAAAAAAATCTTTATTTGGATGTGTGTTTCTTCACTTAAATTACAGGAAACCGGGTATAGGATTTCTGTTGCAAAGCTATTAAAATAAAGTTCCAAACACAGGAGTGTGCAGCATTGGAAAAAGAGATCAGTACTAAAACTTATAACAATAAATATCAGAGAAGCCATTAGTTTTTACAGCATCATCTGCTTAAAGCCTAAGTCAACCAAGTGTATGATTTCCCATCAATCTGTATTTTTAGAAGAGGCACGGCAATTTCTATTTTCATGATCTGAATATTGAGACAAATATATCAAAACATCTTTTAAAAACTTTGATTTATAGCTCCTGGAAAGTTACAAAAATTTTTTTTAATCATTCTACTTAAAAAAAAAAAAGTGTTTCTGTTCATTTTGGAGCCTCATTAAACAAGATTTCAGGATAGTAAGATTCATGAGGGCTCAAATGGAATGATGTACAAAATCTAACATTTTAAACCCCGTAATTCCTATCCTTTTGTAGCTGAAAGGAATCAGTTACAACACAATTTCACATCCATCCTTGCTCATTTACAGAATTATATTTAGCACAGTGGTTAACAGAAAGACTGCCCGTGTACTGATGGAAAAAATTTGTTTTGTCAGAGACTTGCACCATAGTTTTTAATTAAATTGTCCAGCATTTTCCCAGACAATTTTATCTTTTCAATGCACTAATGGAGAACAAAGATAAAAATCATGACTTTCGACTGCTACTCAACATGCACCAATATTGCACACATCTGTTACGAACTGTTAAAATAATCTTCTGGGTCCTTGGGCTGCTCGTTTTCACCATCAGAACACAGAACAACCCATTTAAGTAGTTTCCTTTAAAGATGAAATTAAGAAATTTAAAATACTGGGGAAAAAAACGAAGAAAGAAAAAGGTAGAGACTTTGTACAGACAAAAATCTAAATTTTTCAAAGGGTTTTGTGTGCCCTGCACATGGGGGCAATTTGTACACACTAGTGAAATGAACACTAGCTATAATGCTTCTAGCTGCTCAAATGATGTGGAATCTTGGTCCAGGTGTGGCAATGATGTCACTGTATGGTTCTTCCTGTGTCAGCTCAATAGCTTGCTGCTTTTTAAGAACCAAGAAGCTGTAGAACTTTGCTGCAGCTTGCTTTCTGTTCGTGTTTCGACATAACTCAAGCAAACTGATAGATTCAGCTCCAGTTTTAGCGAGAGCTCGCTGAAATAAAACAAAAAGGGTGAATGAAATGAAAGTAACTTACACAGTAACATACTTTTAAAAGGATGCCCATTTTGGTTACTGGAAAATGTGTATCGTATATTCTGTTAAGAGGCTGGAATTGGACTTTTAAAACTGGAAGAGTCTTTTACATCAGTTCTTGATTAAACATTAGAATAAATGGTAGAGTAAGGTTGGTATGTGTCAGAATCGACTTGACAACAACGGGTGTAAGATTTATAAAATAGAAACATACTAAATTTTACACTTTCACAGAATCATTCAAAGTCTACATTCTCTTATACCATCTTACTGTTAGAAAATAAAACAATTGTTTTTATTCTGAAGCTCAGGCAGTTTGCTTTGCTAGTGGACTGAATAGTAAGTGATTTTCACATTAATCAGGAAAGTAAAGGGCTAAACCATATTATGATATGTCTAAGATCAAAGGAGAGTTTCTGGGTGGTACAAATGGTTAACGTGCTTGGCTGCTAACTGAAAGGTTGGAGATCAAGTCTATACAGAGGTGCCTCAAAAGAAAGGCCTGGAGATTCAAAATCAGCCACTGAAAACCCTATAGAGCACAGTTCTACTTGGACACACAAGGGATTGTCAAGAGTTGAAACTGACTTGACAGCAACTGGTTCTTGGTTTAAGATCAAAGGAAGAAAGCCCGAGAAATAAAGCTGTTCCAACACACACTGTTAAAATGAGCCATTTCTCTGTGCATCAAATGTCTTACAATAGTAAAATCTGGGACTTAATTCTTAAAATTTCCATTAAAAAAAAAAAAGAACTGTCCTTTGAATCCATTTTAGGAAGCCTTGAGCAACTTGCCTGGTATTTCACAGATGCTCAAGACAGCTCCTCTGTACCTGATGTATTAAGGCCTAGGGATAAGTGACATGAGGCTACACAATGATTCAACAAATGTAATGATTCAGCACATTAAAACTGCTCATCCTAAAGTAAGAAGATACGGACATACAAAGGAATTCCATAAAACATCACCACAGTTTTGCTTTTTAGGATAATTATGGGAAAGAAAGTATTTACTTGTGGCCTAACAGTTTGTTTAAAATATTTTAAAAATAATGTAGTTTTAGAAAAAGACAGCTTTCACAAAGGTATGCATTCTGATTGTAGTACATAACTTTGTTTTCATTTGAGGAAGCAATGCAAGTCTTTCATTAAGTATTTTTCTCTAAGACTACACTGGCATACCTGAAGACCATGAAGCATCTGCTGAGTTCTTTTGTTCCATCTTCTTTCTTCTTGATCCTGATCACCCCCTGAAGCATCTTCATCCTGAGTGAAAAAGACAAAAAAAAAAAAAAAAAAACCCAAAAAAATAGCTGATAAAAGACTACTCTGCTGCAAAATGAAACACTTCTATATGTCCTGAATGTTCTTAAATTTTATATTTTTGCTTATAGAAAATTATATCTAATAATCAGCCATCTAGTATGAACTTTGAAGTCTGTTTTTCTTAAACTGTGAAAGAAAGTCCTCTGTACCTTCAAGCAAACATTTGGCTGACTATATGATTCTATATTGCTCTGTAAGGATGTGGCCCACAGCCTGTTACTGGTTGGTGACCTATGGGTTACTGGCCTCTATTAAGATAAGGAATTTGTGTCAGAATATAAATAAACTATGACACTAAGCACACTATTTACTTCAACTGACTTGATTTTTTCTGGTAGCATGATTTTCTGAATGATTTATATTCCAGCAAAAGCTCCCAATCTCATTGTAGACCAAAGAACCCACAGAGAAGCAATGTTAAGTGAGTAGTACTGGTCAACATGTCTTTTTAAAAAATGGGCTTTAGCCCATAACTATTATTTTACTTGAGCCATCCAGCCATAGACCTGCCACCTACAGACATGATTGCTAAATGACATTCTGAATGCTGGAGCTAGCGAAGAGCAGCAGTTAAAATGTTCCCAGGTAATGGGGGAACAATAACTAGATTCCAAAGATCCAGGATTCAGCAGCATCACATGTAACAGGAGGCACATCAACTCTTAAATAATGTTTCAACACTATGTCTGATACAATGGTATACCCTAATACATCTAGTGGCTTTGGGGCTAAATTTTGATTTTAAAACAATCTAGTATTCATACTGAAGACAAGCACTAGGTAGTTATAAAATCTATATGGTTTACATAATGATAAATTTGAAGTAAGAATAGATGTTAGTGAAAATGTATCCTATCTATAACGTTTAGTTTTGGAAGAAATTTTAAAAGTTCAACGCTACCTGGAAGATACTTTATTTTAAATTTAAAAGCTTAAATAAAACATATGATACAGTCTCAAATTGAAAAGTCAGTAAGTTTTACTCTAAGTCTTATATAATAACCTCAATGATCCAGAAATAAGGCGAAAAACACCTTCAAGAGCCAAAACATGGCCTAGGAAAAAGAAATCAATTCCTAAAGCACCTTTTAACTTTTTAAAAAATCAAAGTCATTGAAGCCTTCACTCGGTCTATTTTCACTGAGTCATGCCCCACCCCGATCTAATTAAAACAAAAACAAAATCCACACAAACAGAAAATGTTTGGTTATCTGATTTCCAGGTCACAGACAGAGAAGAGGTTACACAGAGGCAGAGGCTAATAGCAATAAAGAACTGACCACAAGACAATAAAAAATAGCTATAAGCAATTTTAAAAGTGAACCAGGAAATCAGCAAAGGGGCAGTCCCATGTCCTCCAAAAGCCCACATGGGAGCCAATGAGTTATAGCACAGCATAAAATCTGATGTTCTTAATGACCTATGCCACTAGGAGTTTAAATCTGTTTGCATTCACACATTCTTCTCCTCTAATGATTAACATCAATTAATTTAGCTTCGATATGAAAAAGTAAACGAGCTGGTTGAAGACTTTTGCTAAATCTGGAATGGGAATTTATTCCTCAGGTATCTCTTTTATCAAGTTTCCCTACCTCCTCCTCTTCATCATCTTCTTTCTCCTTCTCCTTCTCTTTCTCCTTCTCTGGCAGAAGTTCTAGCTCTGGGATTAGCTGGCAGATATTTGGAGGCTCTTCTGGGGGCAGCTCAACAGGAGGTATTTCCATCTGCTCTACCTGCTGCGGCTTAAAGCAACACAAATAGAGCAAATTCAGACATTTTAAGGTTAGCTTCTTTTAAATATAGTTACTGTTTTCAAGATGGAAAGAAGTACTGGGATTATATTTCCATACTTTTCCTCACAATCAAAAATTCATTATAGTATGCACTTAACTGTTTTTCTTTTATTGTAAAGTTACATTAGTTTACAAAATTATCTATCATTATCCTGAAATAAAAGTATTCATTTTAATACTTATTTTGTAGAAGGCCAATATTTAAAGCCCATGTGAGATGTTTGCAAGAAAAACTATAAACAGTAACAACAAACAAAACCTCAACTTTCTGAAGCAGCATTTTAGAAAAAAACAAAACCCATAGACTCTATGGTAATAAGGTCGTTGGTGGTTTAGTGGTAGAATTCTTGCCTCGCACGTGGGAGACATGGGTTCAATTCCTGGCCAATGTACCTCATGTGCAGCCACCACCCCTCTGTCATCTGAACAGGTTTCAGTGGAGCTTTCAGATTAAGACAGACGAGGAAGAAAGGTCTGGTAATCTACTTGCAAAAATCAGCCAATTAATAGTTTGACCTGCAACTGATCGTGGAGATGGCGAAGTACCTGGCAGCGTTTTCTCCCTTTGTAGATGGGATCGCCATGAGTCAGAGGCCTACTCGATGACAACAACTATGACAATACCAAATATCTGAAAATAATTAGCCCAGTGTTGTCAGCCATTACTGCAAAAAATTGTCTTAAAGCTATTATAGAGTAACTTAAAATCATAAGCTGGCTTCTCAATAAAAGCGTTGGAACTCTTATGGCAGCAAATAATAGAAATAAGGAGACTCCATTTTTCTGGATCCACCTCATATATATCCTTCATCTCAGGTTTTTAAGATAAAAAGTTGAGAATACGTAAAAATAAAAAAAGTCTTTAACAAACTAGAAAAGTGATGGGGAACAACTCCCAGAAGGAAGGTAGTATTAGTCATCCACACACTACCTGTTCTCATTTCCATTCCTGAGATCACACAGAAAAATACTATTACTGACAACTCTTTACCACCAGAGGGCACAGAACACTAGTTCTTAAAACTGGGAAACAGCATTCTCCTGCCAGTAGCCTCTTAATGAAGGCTGAACCAGGAGCCTGAGGTTACCAAAATACCTCCCTTTGCTCAAATTTATTCTATAAACTTAAGGTTGGGAAGCCCTAAACAAGATCTCACTTCCTTTATACTTAAATTGAGTTTTCTTATCCTAAGTAAACTTAATGATGGCCAAAGACTGAACGAAGTAGCCAGATGTTGCTTTACTTTTTTTTCTATCTGACAAGCATATTCTCAATACTTAATATGACAGCCTAAAACCGCTTAGTAGTGGAAAAACTCAGAAATGTTTACTCAAGAATAAACCAGAGATAAGTTCAGAATCAGGTACCCTACATTAGCCAAGGACGCTTACTTTGGGACACACTGAAGCAAGAGTCTATTCAAAATACAGCGGTCTCCCAGAACATCTCCCGTTTAGAGCAGACTGTGTTCATATCCTCAACTGCCATTCTTCTTCTCTGAACCCATTCCCTGATGTGCCATTTTCTGCCTAAGACCAAGGTACTTCAAAAGGACTCCCTTGCTACTACCAGAAATGTAAAATGATTCTCTGAATACTCCCAAATACACAGATAAGACAGATTTGCTTACAGGCATCACAGGCTCTGGGTCAACTTGTCCGGCCTTTCGCTTAATTCCCTGAGGTGGTGGTGGGGGCATGGCTGACTCATCCAAGTTCGTTCTGCTAGTTTCCACTATTGACTCCTGGAGGCGGCTTGGCTCTTCCAAAATGGGCTCATCTGCAGTTGGTCATACGGAGAGGACATTAAGGTCGTAAATCTTAAATAACATTTTAGAACCATTTACTTTTGATGTACTAGCATAGTAAGACACAGGTATTTTTTCTAATGAGGAAGGTCAGATAAAATTTCACCTAAACAAAGATTACTCAATTTAAACAATATACTTAAAAGCGGGACCAAAAAACAAAAAAACCAAGCCCGCTGGAGTTGAGCCAATTCTGACTCATAGTGACCCTGCAGGACTGAGCTCATAGAGTTTCCAAGATTGTAAATCTTTACAGAATCAGACTGCCACATCTTTCTCCTATGGAGCGACTGGTGGGTTTGAACAGCCAACCTCTTGGTTAGCAGCCAGGTGCTGATCCACTGTGCCACCCGGGCTCTTTAAAGATGGAAAGGGGCCTTAAAAGGACAAATCCCATTTCTAGTCCAATGCAGGACAATCCTTTAGCAGACCGTGACCCAGCCAGTCCTGAACCTTCTGGAAACAGAAAGCTTTATATCTAGCAAGCCAATCAGATGCACTGCGTTTCCCTGTCCAAAAATCTGAGTACACTCCCTTATTCCTGATTTCTTTTAATTTGGCAATATACAAGGTAAATTTTAAGACAGATACTCATTTAAGCTGCAGGCAACTATTCCAACAGAACAGACCAATAATATCACGCTGCTGATGTTGCTGTTGCTGGTCTTCTCTGGGAACCTCTGGATTTTCAAATTCTTTGAGGAATTCATCCAAATTATCAGCCTCCCCTCCTTTCCTCCTTTTTCTAAGGTCTTCTGGTACAAGTGGTGTAAGACAGCGTGTAAAGAGCTATAGAAAAAATAAAATTAAAAAAAAAAAAAAAAAAAATCACACTAACTGGAAACATACCTTTTATTTTCCCTAAGTATATTTTTATAAACAAAGCTATAACCAGTGCAAACACCATTTACCATGCTTCTTTACTTAATGGTATAGTCACACCTCATTCCATCTTAAAGTAATTTTAAATATGGTTTAATATTAACTACAGCAATTTTAGAAAGTTGAAAAGAAATGAAAATTTTCTTATTCAATGTCTCATAACTCAGAAATAACACTAAGATTTTTAATTTATTTACCGGCAGTTTATTTTCATATCCACACAATTAAAACTCGACCCAACTAGAATCATATAAAACAGCTTTACATCATGCTTTTTTCACTTATAATTGTATGATAACCTTAATTATCATTTTATACTGGTTGTATAACATTCCAGAGTGGGTATATAACACACTGAACAATTCCTCTATTTTTCATTTTACTTCGCGTTTTTTCCCCCCACTGTAAACAATTTTGTAATGAACACCTTCAAAGAAATGGCTTTTTCCCTATTTTAAATTACTTTCTTAGGAAAAATTCCTTCAAAATGAGACTATTCCGTAAAAGAATACAAATATTTTAAGGACCTTCCAAATGATTACAAAACACGGCACTTCCAATAAAGAGCAGTTTCACCAAGAGGTGCTGCTTTGGAATATATTACATTTGGAATACAGTGAAATATTGCTTCTGTGTACACTTCCAGTTTAGACAAAGTAACAGCCTAACAGCACTGCTTCACTCATCAGACTCTCCTAAACCTTATTTTGGAACAGCCTGGAATCCAGAGATCAGAAAAGTGCCTGGAAGTGAAAAATTACTCTCATAAAGTCAGTGTTCTTTACTGTGGGAATAAACAGAATCCCTATTTTACTCAGAAAACAACACATATAGGACTGCAGATCTGATGCACGGTACACAGTACCAAAGCAACAGAACTAACCGTTTATTGTAAGAGGTTGAGGAGAACTATTATTAAGAATTTACGTGGTTTTTTAGTATAAGGAAAATGAATTCTGTTTTTTAGAATGTAGGTATCAAATATCACTATATTTCTACACAGTATGACAATGGATATTTCTGACGAGAATACAGTAGCCATTAAAAGATGTAACGCTCAATATACCGTGATTTAAGGAAGGAAGAAAAAAGTATTTGCCATAGAGTTGAAAAATATTTAACAAGGAACGATTCAAGCAAAGGTTTTAGAACTTTATTTCATGAAATGGTAAAAATTCTGCAAACTGTATTACCTTCAGTAGTCTATTATTCCATAAAGGCTGAGCAGGTAAAGAGAAAAGTTTTTCCACTCCTCCTGTCTCTTTCCACATCATCAATTTCTTGGTGGGCGGTGCCAGATCCAAAGTAGTAACAATATCAGAATAATCACTAAGCTGGGCTCTAATGGTCTTGCTATCCAACTCTTTCACACTGTCAACAATTAGCTTCCTCTTCCTCTTGGCTTTTGTTTCTTTGACTGGAAAGACAAAAGAAAAAATAAGGTCACTTTCTGAGAGGCCAGATGAAATATACACCTACTGTACTTGGTTCTGAGGAGCCCTGGTGGCACAGTAGTTAAGCACTCAGCTGCTAACTGAAAGGTCAGTGGTTTGAACCCACCAGCTGCTCCACATGAGAAAGATGTTGTAGTTTGCTTCCGCAAAGATTACAGCCGTGGAAACCCTACAGGGAAGTTCAACTATGTCCTATAGGGTCACTATGAGTTGGAATCAACTCAAAAGCAATGGGTTTGGGTTTTTTTTAAATACCTGGTTCTGACTGTATCTCCTGCTTTTCTATATGCAGACCTAACAGAACACTTAGGAATCATAAGGGTAGGGATCTGTTTTATAAACTGATGTTTCCCAAGGACCTACAATAGGGGTTGGTACACAGTAAGTATGCAATAACAAGGTGCTGAATGAATATTTATAGACTCTTCACATAAAATTAAGTAAAATAATGCCAATACATTTTGCCCATGTAGCTTTATACTGCAAACGCTATATATATCATACTTGATTCAGATGTGGGCTCAAGTCCTAGGTTCTGCCATTTACTAGCTATGTGAACATGAAGCAAAGTTAACTTCACCTTGCTTAAGTCTCCATTTTCTCGTTTGAATTAGGGCCAACCACCCATAGGAGCTGTAAAATACGTAGTATAGTGTCTAGTATCAGTTAAGTACTATAAATAACTGCAATCATTATTTCTACTGGAGAAGTTACAATTCATATATGGCAGTTGTACAAGCAGCCTGACGAAGTGAAACAAGTCCACGCCCAGTGAGATGGACCCAGAAGTCCCTCCTAGACACCTGTATATTCATTTCTAATTCTTACTATAACCTTGCAAAATAGGTAGCCTTATCTCCATTTCTTAAAATGAAGAAAAACACATGGGACTAAATAAAACCCTCAAGATTTCACTTTATCAGACATATTATACTCTATAGATTTTTATATATAAAACTTTCATGTGATTCAAAATTTGAAAGATACAAAAAGATGTTGCATAGTGATGCCCCTCTTTCCAACTCCTGTCCTCCAGCTACTGAGTTCCAATCCCTGAAAGTGAAAGGCCAAGTTCTTACACTGGCCGACAAGGTCTATCTTATCCCATTCAGGGATGCTGGGAGATACATGCCCCTGTTACATTTTCCGCCCCTGGAGGTTTACTGGCATGCATTTGAGCCACTTTAGTTATGTTCTAGTGTCGTGGCGGATACCGGTGCAACTGCCTAAAGAACAAGGAAGCTTGTCTGCACTATATGTGGAGTGTTATTTTTTGGGTGAAAATAACGTGGGGTGCACTTCCTGGGCCACAGTACCACGATGTACTGCATTTGTGATATACTTCATGGAACATGGTACTGATATGGCCTGCCTGCAATTGGTACCTCATTTTTTCAAATAATATAAAACTACCAACAAACAACAATTCAGCATCCATTCCATTAGTGAAAAAACAGGGCATCACACACACATACACAAACAAAAATAATTTATCCATGAAAGGATTATTTTAAACACTGCACTACACCTTATCCTCTTATTTTTATAGTTCTCTATAGTATTTGTTACTATCTAATATAACATATATTTTAATTACTTCTCACATTCCTCTAATTAGTAGTTAACTTCCACAAAGTTAGGAATTCGTTCATTATTAACACTGACTTTAGAATCTTTGATAGTGCCAGTTTAAAAAACAAAAAAAGCATTTTTAGGTTTTCCCAGATCGGAGCCCAACTGTACAGATCCTAGAGCTTTGGAAGACAACTGATTAGTCGATCTTATTCTTTATTGTACAACACCCCACAATATTTGCTAACTGTTACACACAAGGGAGCTAACATTCTGAGGACCACAAAAGACTAGCTATAAAATAGCAAAAAAACTGTTCTATACTTTTATATTTCACATCAACTTGTATAGATATTCCACAGGCTACTCAAATTATAACAGAATAAGGACTTTATGACACATGACTGTGACAAAGCAGAAAGAAGCTTAGTTTTCTAAAATGATAGCAGCAGATTAGTAGACAGCCAGAACTAGGATCTTATGTTCTAAGCTCTATAAATCAAAAGGTTTGTTTGCTCACCAGTGATATCAATAGGTTCCAAAGCAAATGCTTCTTCCTCATTCGGAACAAGTGTTGTCTGATCAGTCATAGTTGGCAATGGTTCAATAGGATCCACTGAATCAGGACTATCAGGCCCACCCACTATAAAAACAGAAATATGGTCACAAAATGCTTGGTAAAGTATGTCCTATAACGGCGGGGGAGGGGGAGGGAGATCTGTGAAATTGAAAGAAACCTCACTGGTACCAAGAAAGAACACTTTCTAGTTATGAAGAAGTCCCTCCAATGTCAAAACCAATTGGCTAAAAAAAAAGGGGGGGGGGACGACAACCACAGGGTTCAACACATAAGAGAATAAAAACTAGTAATCATAAGCACAGTTTTTAAGAGTATTACAGTTCATTAAAAATTAGAGCTTCTAGTCTTCTATATTAAATATCTTTTTGAATGCCATACAGTCATCCCACGTCTCACTGAACATTAAATGCTTACTTGATACGTTATCATCCTCATCCACATCATCATGTGCAGGCTGCTCTGGCAACATCACCCCCGTCTCAGAGAGAGTAGGGGGATCGTCAAAGATACCGCCATCATTATTACTAATAAGTTTGTCGTCTGAAATAGGGAAAGTAATTTAGTTGTAATTTGAAAAACAAATGCTAAAAAGAATAATAGCCCATCACTGGAAAAATAAAATTATGTTAAATGGATTCAATTTAAATCTTTATTCAGTTTGCATCAATTTCTCTGCAAGGTAGTTTATAAAAGTACAAAACACATATGAAAATAACTTCTCATTCATCATTTATATTTTCTAGTTAATAATCAATTTCAAAAATGTATTTACTTGGCATAGATAGCAAACACAAGTAGAGCTACTTTAAGAACTAATAATAGTTAAAACTCTGAGACAAGCACCTTTAAACAAAATGAGGTACTGTTACAACGTTTTAGGCTATAGTTTTACAGAAAACTTTTGACTGAACCAATTAGTCATGATCCAGGTATATGTACTAAGATATCAGCTCAAGACCCAGAATTAGCAACTACTTCAGAACATTAGAACTGAATAAAGAAATTATGTTAGAATGACCACCCTGTTGTTACCTACCTAATATGCCACCATCATTTCCTTCTCCAAAATTGTCATCCTTATATTGGTCTTCATATTCTAAATGGTTGATTTTCTCATTCAGGTTGCTGGTGCTTTGCTCGGGCTCGAGAAAGAGGTTAGAAGTACTAGTGCTTACTAACATGTCGTCATCCTCAAAAGCACTGCCTTCTCTCATTATCTCACGATCATCCATTCCAAAGTCGCCTGAACAAATTTTAGTAATTAGTTGAAAAAGGTTAGAGACATCATGGTTACAAAAGAAAACAGCTTATTTTGTATTACAATTATGATGTCACATTTCTTTACTGAAGTCTTACTTATCTCCTTGACTGTAAAAACAGTTAAATTTCATAAACTTAATTGATTCTTAATTACAAACAGCTGTAACTCTGGGGCAGGACTAACAAATTCAAACTTACATCCAAATTTTGGTTTTCCTAAATATGTTAGGTAAACCTAAATATTTATGTATGATAGATTCTATTAATATTCACAGAGTTAAACTCCCTTGTTATAAAGTGTTTTCATCAAGAAAAGAATTTGGCTTGCTGCCAGTTTTGAAAACCTAAGTTTTTGAAGAGTAAGAACAGAATGCAACCGTTCCAAAATGATTAGTTTAAAAGTAAGCATTATGTCAATGTTGGGACTTAAAACACCCATCAATATATATGCTCTATAACTATGTACAGAAAGCAGGAGTAGGCAAAGAATGAACTACAAATTTGGTGTGTAAATGGAAATGATGTTTAATATACCGGCAGCACAGCAAATCTTTTCCTTGATGGAAATGCATTAGATGAAATGTTAAATCTTTCTGCCAACATGAATGGAATATATCTGGTTTTCTTTTTGAATTTGCTAGTTGGCAGTGCCACAACGTAATTGTAACATTACAGCCAATGGCTAGTAATTGATTTCTCTATTACCAAAATCATTTTCTTGTAGAATACTGATGTTCCCAACTTCTTCTCTCATGGTTATCTCTTCCACTCTACTCTGGTTCAGGCTGAATTGCTGGGCCACATCAATGTCACTTTAAAAAAAGTTTAAAATACATTTTAAATGTAAGTCTCAAGTCGCACTGTAACGTATGTGTAAGGAAAAAAACACTCCGATTCTTTTTATAAGAAAACAAAACAAATACACACAACCCACCAAGGTTTAGGAGCTTTCAGATATTTAATACTAAATAAATTTCAATACACTCCAAGAATGTAAATAGCAACTTGAAAGTTAATTTAATTTGTACTTTAGTATACCTAATACGAGCCCCAGTGGCACAGTGGTTAAAGTGCTCAGCTGCTAACCAAAAAGGTCATCAGTTTGAATGCACCAGCTGCTCCGTGGGAGAAAGAAGTGGCAGTCTACTTCTGTAAAGATTCACAGCCTTGGAAACCCCATGGGGCAGTTCTACTCTGTCCTATAGTCGCTATGAGTCAGAACTGACTGGCTGGCAGTGAGCTTTTTTTTTAATACACAATATACCACCAATGACCACCAATTAAAATATGCTGAAATTACCACATAAAGCAACATGGTGCATAGAAGAAAAACTCAGAAATGCATGTACTAGGTAATAATAATACATGGGTTTTCATCAGAACCCTGCAACTTACAGGCTGTGTGAATTCTACAAAGTTACCTAGCTTTTCTGAGACTCTATTTCGTCCTCTGACAAATAAAACCAACTTTTCATCAAAAAACAAAACCAAACTCGTTGCCATTGAATAAATTCTGATATTGTTTAAAAATACTGAATAAAAAACAAAAATCACATAATGTTAAACATCAACTTGGAATGTCACTGGCCAAATCTAGAACTTAATACTTCAAAACAATCGATCAGCTTTGTTCAGCAAATAAATGGCAATGAAAATAAAAGAGGGAGGGAGGGCTATTATTATGAATTCTTAAGAGAGACTTACTAGACATATCAACCAAATGCAGCCTATGGACTTCGTGTAGACCCTGATTCAAACAAACTATGTGTCAACTGGGTACTTTTAAACACTTACTGGATATTGTATCAAGGGACTACTGTTCTTTTAAGATACGATATTATGGCTACATTTAAAAAACTTCTTCTATTTATAGGTGAAATAAAATATGTTATTTGCTTTAAAATAATCCAGTGGGAGTGGGGTGAACTGGGTGAACACAGATGAAATAACAGGGCCTCATATTGATAATTACAGAAGCCAGATGATGGTTTTACGGGGTTTATTAGCCCTTCTACTTTTTAGGTATGTTTAAAAATTTCCATGATAAAAGCTCATTAAAACAAAACAAAACAAAAGTGTGTAGATAGTGCCTAGCATTAACACACAGAAAATCAAAACAGGTCATAAATTTACTCTGCTAATTAGGAGTTAAGAGATTATTTCAAAAAGCAGAGAAATATGACATAAAATGGAGCATGGCATGAATGAGATAATAGGCTGATGTAGAGTGTTTCTTGATTATTAATTGTGATACCCAGTTACTTAGAAAGCTACAGTCACGTTCCCCATCACGGTGTTTAATAGCTGGGTTTTAAGGAATTACAAGGGAAACAACACACCATAGCACTACTCTCACTATAATGGCTATCTCTGTTCAACTTTCTTGTCTTTAATGTGTTACAGCAATGACCCTTTCTTGCTCCTCACACAAAGTTATCTCGTGCTTATTTACAAAAAGAACAAAAATTGTGGCTCTGATTATATCTTGGCCAAGATCACCAGACTTTAACATACCAAGTATATAGCATAGTACTGCATATGTACACTTGTAAAAAAAAAATCATGAAACAGTTCAAGCTTACTGATATCATTATGTAAAGGACATACCTGGACAACTATTCAGTTTACACAAGCTTTGGTCTAAATAACTCAGAATTCTCATATCTTAGTTGTGTTAAAGCTGACTTCTTCTACATGATTTTCTTAGACAAGAAACACTTTCTAGGTTATGCATTTCATATTTATAAACTAACCTAAATAAAAGCTTATACATTTAAGATACATGTTAACTCAATGTCAAAACATTCTAGGAAAACTATACATTTGGAAGCCAATAATATGTTCTCTGTAGACCAAGCCAACAATTAAAAAGAAAGAGAGAGACATACTCTAAGTCAGGCAGTGGCTGATCAAAGTCATGAAATTCTTCAGGTAAGGTTATGGCATTATAAGCTGCTTCCCGGTTTTCCTCAGGCAGGTCAACAACACCTGGAAAAGAAATGCTAAGCTTGAAGGTCAAGCTATACCACAGATTATTTAGGGCAAAGTCAGTAAAGTTTCCTAAGACTGTATTCTGAAAGAGTTGATAACATGTGTAAAGTACCTTGAAGCACAAGCACTTCTGTGTTCTATAATAAGCTGTACTACTTGCTTTACCAGAAAAAGTCAAAGCACTAATAATTATGTGTTAAGCTGATAAATCTTTAAAAGGTCCATGCCAACAAATATATAGTAAGTTTTCTAAATAAGCATGACATTTATAAGGGGAGAAGGAATGACAGCAAAGGAGTAACTTCAAACGTTCAAGCATTGACTTTAGAGGCTGGAATTATTTTAATTTTTCTTTATATTTTTCAAACTGTCTATAATACATATTGCTTTTAAAAGATAAAAGCAAACAAAAAACAAGTTTCTTACAATGTACCTAGTGGCCACAGATGTTAGAAATCCTTCAAGTCCCTTAGCATAACTGCAGCCTTTGCCGCAACATTTTGCTTTTAGATCTCCAAAATTTGGCTGTTCGTATGTTAAAATAAATTGAAGTACTAGACTGTAACCTAAGTAGAAACCATTGTACAGGACATCTCTTCTATACATTCAGATTATCTGAATTAGAATAAAATTTCACCACTGCTTTAAAAAAATTATAGAATGATATAAGAATTCAGGTAAACACCCTAGTAATTATCTACTCAAATGGAAGTGTGGCTGTCAGAATCCAATTCTGGAATCAATCATCACCTAAAACAAAGCAACAAAAACCTCAGAGAACAATTAATGAAAAGTCTCTAATTCAGGTTAAAAGTAAATCTGATTATAAGAGTACACTAAAATTATCCAGGAAAAAATCTAAAACCTTAAGATTTTCTTTTCTCAGCTATAAAAAAAAAAAAACATGTAACAATTAGTTTTCAACATTTCAACTTCCAGTAACTCAGTTCTATGTAAGTTGCTGAAAAAAGGGTTACAAGAAAAAGCCAACTGCACAGGAAGAACAAAAAAGGGGTGATGTTCCATAACCCCACAAACAGAACGAACCAGAATAAAGTGGGTTTGTTCCCTTGATCCACTGCCTCTCCAAGCCTTGTCCTATCTTTCATGGGTTCCTTGTATTGCAATCAAAACAAAAACATGCTGTTTTAGAGCATGTGTTTAGCAGTTTTCCACACCAAACATGAGAAATGCCAGAGTTGGAAGGAAAAAAAAAAAAAAAAAGCCCAACAATACCTGGCCGAAAAGCCATCTTTATTTTAATAAATGCCTCATTACAATCTGCAAGGAGATATTTGGCTTTCCTGTGATAGATTCGAACTACTCCCAGTAAGAGATGTCCTGATGTTCGAAGCGCCATCTTCACCTGTAAATAAAACACTAATATTAATCTAATTTATAAAATTAATTTTATAGGTTTAGAGATAACTGTACTTCAAAGCCTACATTTTGTGCAATTTATATGCTGTTTTTCCGTTATCTCTTTATGCCCTTTATGATTTATTTTGAAACAAAATCATCTATATTTTATTTTCCACTGTCTTTAACTGAAAATTCCCTTAATATTTCCAAACGATAGACTGGCAGTAACCCGTGAATTAACACAAACGTGAAATAGCTATGAAGCAGGTACAAAAGTATCCCACTGACTGTCATTAGCACACTATGGATATGGCCTACTTGAAGCCATAATCTCCTCCTTGTTGGCTAAATAAACTCTGATTTGGTTTGGGAAATGGGTATCTCCACACTTGAAAGATGCTTCTCTCATTCTTCTCTGCTAATGCTTGCTCTTGAGTAACCAAGTTCAGCCGAGTAGTAAGTGTAAAGTCTGCCAAGAGTTCCTGAGAAGGACTTTCCCAATAAAAGAATGTTTCCCTTTCCTGCTTTGTTGAGTAGGTAGAGCTTGGTCACCAGGTAACCCTGAGGCCAAAAGCCTGAGGACAAGAAGCCAATAAACTAAGAAAGGTGAATCCCTGGATATCATCACTGACATGCTGAACCAATCATAAACCTATTTTCAAACTTCTAGTTAAGTAAGACTGTTATATACCTTATTGTTTATGCCACTTTTCAGAGAATTTTTTTTAAACTGTGCTTTATATGAAAGTTTATAGAGCAAAATTAGTTTCTCATTAAACAATTAATATATATATTGTTTCACGACACTGGCTGCCAACCCTGCGATGTGTCAACCCTTTCCCCTTCTCAACCTTGGGTTCCCCATTACCAGCTTTTCTGTCCCCTCCTGCCTTCTCATCCTTGTCCCTGGGCTGGTGTGCCCATTCAGTCTCGTTTTATGGGCCCGCCTAATCTTTGGCTGAAGAGTTTACCTAGGAAGTGACTTAAGTACTGAGTTAAAAAGGTGTCTGAGGGTTTCTCCAGTCTCTGTCAAACCAGTTAAGTCTAGTATTTTTTTGAGTCAAAATTTTGTTCTACATCTTTCTTGTTCCGTCCAGGACCCTCTATTGTGATCCCCACTCTTTAGTGACTTCCTATTACTTGACTGAAAAGCATACTAACTGATAAAGGATAATGGTACCCATCTTTTTTCACCTGGAAATACACTCCTCGGCCTATTTTTTTCCAAGGCAGAACTTAGATCTTGATCAATGCTTATTGCAATCAAGTGTGTGGGGTGAAAAGCAGTAGTTGGGAAAAGAATGAGACAAGTAAGCACTTGACCTAAATAAAATGATCAAAATTTCTCTGGCTATAATATGAAAATTATTGAGGGAGTGAGACAACATAAAGTCAAACTTCCCTAGATAGTTTTCCAAATCATACCATTAAACTTACCCAGTTCTAAAGTAGCAAAAATGATTAATATAAGTTTAAATTATGATTAATATATGTTACTTATAAAATAAAATGTTACATTTTTAAGCTATAGGTATATGCTGTAGAACTCCAGGACCCTATTTATAATGACGAGCTGGTTCTACCATTTATGGCCATTTCACACGACTTATAGCATACTTTATGATGTTTACTGCTAAAAGTTCTTAGATACCTGAAATTGTAACAAATACGTGTTTATCTGATGATAAATCCCTCACGCAAAAAGTAATTTGCAATTAAAACACTGTTCCTATAGAAAAACAATCTATTTTTACGATGTGGTTTCAGGAGAGAAATTTAAAATTAATATTGACTGCACTTTCATCTAAGAAAGGAGGAAAAAAAATCTCTGCTCATCATTATCCTGTCAGGAATTAGCAACTTTCAAAAAGTGGTGTTTGTGCAAAGGCCTTCTTTCCGGATTAGTTTGGTGCAGAGTTTAGGCTGGGACTAGGTAAAATGTATGAAACTTTTGCTGTTAAGCTAACTCATATTAAGAGTCTAGGTATGATAAAGAGGAAAGGTTATATATTCATGGAAAGTTCTGCACAGGGTGTCACTGGCTGTTCCAACCAGGAGAAAAGAGAGGGAAGTAGAGGGAAAGGGAGAGGGAAAAAAGGGGGAAGAGAGAGGGGCAGAAGCAGCGTGGAGAGAAAGGGTGGGCATTTACAACTGAGCCACATGTCTGGTACTTGTTCTAGAACAACTAAACAAATCAACATTTCCCCACATGAACTGTACACCAAAAGCAAATATTAAAAATCAAACAAAAACTACTCGGCAACAGTTTTTAAAAATTTAATTCTTACACACACACATACACACAAACACACACTATAGTCTTTTACTTTATTCCTGAACCATATGCCTTGTTTAGTGCACACCTTCACACATTCCTAAACATAGGTCTCGTAAGATCAGGCTGTCTCTTATTTTGCAGTGCCCCTAACAAAGTACTCTGCACATATTTGAAAAAATTTGTAATCCTTTTCAGCTAAAGCACCCTCCGTATTTGTTTATGGATGTTAAACTTTAGCCACATGTATCAATTTCAAGAAAAGAGCTCAACTTCTCCCCTTTCCATTCATTTATCTCAGTAAGCATACCTATAAAAAGGAAAAAAAAACACCATGTTCTCTTCGCAGCAGTACAAACTGGTATAAGCTCTCCAGAGAGCAAATTGTTAACACATATGAGAAATCTTAAAAACAGGCATATCCCTTTGCCCAGCAATATTCCTGAGCATCAATCTTAACATTTAAGGATGTACACAGAGTTAGCAAGAAATGTTTACTAAATAATTCTTCTTAATAAAGAAGTTAGAAATAATATAAGCTATGCAAAAGAGAAGAAACAGGTTTAAAAAAAAAAGAACAAAAAACCATGCACAACACAACAAAAACAATGAATTACAGGTCCACAATTCCTTATTTGAAATCCTAGTGTCCAAATGTGTTTCCGAATTCAGAGTTTCTAAAATGTTATAAAGGGAATGCAGTGTGTATATATACCATATATCTACATATTAGTATTTCTATAGTGAATTTATGAATACCTCAGTTACCTTATCTCAGTTTGGGTCAAGTCTGTTTCAGAGATTTTTTTGTATTTAAATTCTGTGGATAAGAGATTATGACCCTGTACAATGCAACCATTAAAAATTATGACAGAACTGCAAACAGCTTTCTCTGAATGCAGTGTTGTTAAAATATATATATATACACAAACACACACACACACACACAATGCAGTTTTTGTGTACACACAAAAAAGAAAATTATGTGCCTACTACATGCATATATAAAAAGGGCACATCAAAACATAAGTAAAGGTTTCTCTAGGTGGTAGGATTACAGGTCATTTTTATTTTTTCTCCTTTGGTTTGTGAAGTTTTTGTTTCGGTAAAGTTTTCAAATTAGTACTGTCTTCAAAAGCATGTGGTACAAATGTCTTTAATACCAACAAATTCCATCAGTTATCACTCTAAAACTAGCAAAATTCCACACACAAATGGAAATTTTATAATTCACTCTAATTTCGAGCACAAACTTTCATTTCTACTTCAAACATACACTTCTCCACATACCTTTTCTGAACATTTCTCTGCTACGTCTCCAGCTTAATTCCTCTAAGATCCCCTCACTCTTCATACTTCTCATTTTTTAAAAAAAACACATTATGCAAAAAAAAAACAAAAACGACAAACCAAATCCATTGCCATCGAGTTGATTCCAACTCATAGTGACCTTACAGGACACAGCAGAACTGCTCTGTAAGAGTTTCCAAGGAGCTGAGCGCCTGCTGGATTCGAACTGCCGACCTTTTGGTTAGCAGCCATAGCACTTAACCACTATACCACCAGGGTTTCTGCACTACCCCAACTGACAATCTGCAGAAGTGTGGTTCCCAATGCTATGAACACAGTCGTGCTCTGGAAGGTTTTAACAATAGAACAATTTGTGTGTGTGTACGTATGTATGGCTATATATGCAAGGTCCAAGAAAGGACCTTTAAAACAGATGTAATTTTACACAAACACATATATAAATTATATTTAAGGATTTTTCTTTTATTTTGACATTAGTCCTTCATACTTTTTTGAAGTCAAAATGTCTGTTTTTCAATGAAATGGTAATTAGGTCTGTGTGTTTTAAAGGTCTTTTCTTGGTAAAACAAAAACTCCGTATTACTTTAAGTTACACTATTTGTGAAATCCAAGTCTGGAAACCACTGCTTCAGGACAGTTTCAGAGGATGTCAATAAAAGCTCCTCTGGGAACAGAGCAGTAAACAAAGCAATAAGGTTAAGGACATTCATGCGGCTTCCATTCCAGTGGGAGAGACAGAAATTAAGTCAGCGAGCTAATATCTAGGGGAAGAGTGTTCTTTAGAAAGGGCACCAAACCCAGTGCTGTGGAGTTGACTTTGACTCACAGTGACCCTACAAGTATAAGCAGAACCGTCCCATACGGTTTCCAAGGCTGTCAATCTTTAGGGAAGCAGACCGCCACATCTTTTTCCCGTGGAACAGCTAGTGGGTTTGAACCGCTCATCTTTTGGTAAGCAGCCAAGTACTTTAACCACTGTGCCAGCAGGGCTCCCTACAAAGGGCACAGCCAAGGGCAGAAGTTCTGATAGGGAAAAAGCTTGGTATCTTCAAGAAACAGCAAGTAGGCCTGAGAGGTAGAAGTAAAGTGAGCGGTATAGATAGTATCTGCCAGGTAGGTAAGATAATTAATCTGGCCCCTTGACCTCTTCATTAATGGGTCCTGCTGAGGTGTGGAAACCCCCTTGCAGTAAACAATTTGGCCTGTGGACCTGGTTTCTGAAAGCCTCACCACACCACCTGAGGCCAAGGAATTAGGGCTGACCAGACCAAGAGCGACCGCTTGGGGGCCCGATGCTGACTAAGCCTCAGGAGGCATGATGTAACTTATCATGGCTACATGGCGAAGCCAATAAAAGGCCGTGGAAGAGAAAAGGCTCACTGGAGCTTCCTGGGTGGCGAGAGCTAACACCGGCTCTTAAGCAGGTACCCTGGGAGCATGGAAGCTCTCTGCAGAGACCCCTCCCAGACCTCATCCTGTGTGTTTATATCCCTTCTCTTCTGAAGACAGCCCTTTCCTGGCACGTTGTGAGTCATTTCAAGAAATTACTGGACCTAAGAAACAGGAGGGGCTGTAGAGCAGCTGGGGTCTGGACTGATGAGGGTAGCAGGCTGAGATTTCTGTTGGATGCAGCTGGTGTGTGGATTGGGATTTGCTATCCACTACACAATCTGGCATCAGAAGTAGCTGATCTTAATCTCCCTGGACTGGTTTGACACTAATTTATAATGCCTTATTTTGAATAGTTTATAAATTCCTAAATCAAGAACACACACACACACACGTATAAAAACACCTAGAGAAGTCAAATAAAAAATATGTGGGTACTGCCCCATGTCATATACTTATCTGCCATTGAAATAGGTAAATGAAATTATCTATGCAGTCACAGAATTTTTAGAGAAAAAACAACATCAAACTGTCATCATATCAAATCATATCTACACTTAACCACCACAAGTATGGTTGCAATAAACACAGGTGCCTACCTAAAAGGTTGTTTTACAGAGAGAGTTCTATTTCGCATATCAATAAACAATTGGCAAAGTGAATAAAAATATCTGCATCAAACATACCTTGGGTGAGATGATACTCTCCACGCTGCTCTCTAAATTACACTCGAACACATGGGCTTTGGTTAGCTTCTTATCCCAATGGGCCGCTAGCCAAATTTTGGCCAGAGGCCCTCTTTTACTGAGGACAAAATGCGCGTAGAACATTGTTCCGGTTGACTATAAGACAGCAGGAAACCTGAAGGGGGAAGAGTTAATGTAAGAACCATATGAAAATCTAAACATTTATTGAGACATATAAGAAATGTATAAAAGTATAATATGCATTTAAAAAAACAATCTATGGCTTTAATTTTGAGGATAAGATAATGTCTCCAAAATATTAAGAGCTGAAGAGAAAAGGGACAGGAAGTGTCAAATCACATTCATGTCCTGCTGTCATCTGACTCAAAATAAAAGCTCAAAGTTTTTTTTTTTTTTAAAATAAAAATTGCCATCAGAAAACTCTTACTCTTCTTGAAGTTTCATCCAGTGTTTAATTCCATTCCTATCCTAATTACTGACTGGATAAAAGTTAGAGAATATGTCTTTTACTTTAAGAAAAAAATGTCCAAGAAGAAAAACTATTCAGGCACAGATATTAACCAATCTGGAAATTTCCATTTTTAGAACCTCATTTAAAATTGAGATTCTTAGTTAAAAGCTTTGTACAATAACTGCTACCATGTGACAAGCACTGTGCTAAGCATTTCATATTCAACTAAGCAAAGGTAAGAATACGGGTTAGATCCATTTTATAGGTAGGTAATTTAGAAAAACTGAGGCTGTAAAAGGTGAAGTATTATATGCACTTGTCTACTTATAATTTAAATACTAAACCCATGACAATGATAAAAACTCGTTGACACTGAGTCAATTCCAACTCATAACGACCCTACAGGACAGAGTAGAACTGCCTCATAGGGTTTCCAAGACTGTAACATTTATGGGAGCAGACTGCCACATCTTTCTCCCGGCAAAGCAGCTGGTGGGTTCAAACTACCGACCCTCGGACAGCAGCCGAGTGCTTAATCACTGCACCACCAGGGCTCCTACATGACAATGATACATTATAAAACTTACCTTATGACTAAAATAATCTTAGCAGAAATATAAGCGTATTATTTACATTCTATTTTTCTTTCAGCAAGTCAATGTATTAATACATAACAAAAAAAGGCAGCTTGAAAAGTCCGGTTTGGAGGAAGCACATTAACTGCGGAAATTGACATTTAATATTATTTAATTTCCCTCTTTCATAGATTAAAACAAATCTATTTTGCCAACTGAGTATCTTTTCCTAAAATTTCCATATTAGAGCAAGACATACAAAGTATGCTTAAACCATAATATGTAAAAAGAACTTAATTTTTAAAAAACCCTTTTCCTTTTGAAATAATTACAGTCACAGGAAATCGCAAAAATAGTAGAGGTCTCATTTACCCTTCGCCCAGGTTCCCCTAAAGTTGCAATCTTACATAATTACAGTAAAATATTAAACCAGAAAACTGACATTGGTACAATGTATGTATGTAGTTCTCTGCTAGTTTATCACCTGTGTGGATTTGTATAACCACTACTGCAGTCAAAATACAGAACTATTCTCCATCGCCACAAGGATTGCTCTCTCCCGTACCCCTTCATAGTCACATCCACCCCTTGCTCCTTACCACCCATAAGCCCTGGCAACCATCTCTCTGTTCTTTGTATTTAATTTTGTCATTTCAAGAATGTTAAATAAATGGAATTATACAATATGTGACTTCTGGAACGGCTCTTTGCACTCAGCATAACACTCCTGAAATCCATCCAAATTGATCCGTTTATAAACACAGGCAGTCCTTGGATTACCAACACATTCTGTTCCTAAATCTGTCTTTAAGTCAAATTTGTACGTGTAAGTCGGAACAGTTAGGTATGGTTCATATATAACGTCAGTCAAATGTTTGTCTTAGTATATAGTGTACCTTTCTATGCATAAAAACGTTACAGAAACATACACTCAAACATCTTTAACATAATACAGTAATAACAATGTTTTTATGCGCATCTCTAAGTAGCACCCATTTGTTATTATGAACCATTGTATGTACCTTGAATTTATAATATAATAGGCTTTATGGGGGTTAGTTTGTAGCTGCAGGTTGTATATACGTGGGATGCTTGTAACCCGGGACCGCCTGTAGTTTGTTCCTTTTTATTGTTGAATAGTGTTCCACAGTATGGATATACCACAATATGTTCAGTCGTTCACCCACTGAAGAACATTTGGTTGTCTCATTTTGGCTTATTTCAAATAAAGCTACTATGAATATCATCCACAGACTTCTGGTGAATATACATTTTCATTTCTCGGGGATAAATGCCCAGATGTCTGACTGCTAGGTAGTATAATAAGTGTTTATTTAGTTTTTAAAGAAAATTTAACCCAAGTCCTATCAAAATTCTAGTGATTTTCTTTTATAGATATGGTGAAGGTTATCCTAAAATTTATATGGAAAGGCAAAAAACTAGAATGGCTAAAACTTGTTTTGATGAAGAATAATGTGAGAGAATTTAGTCTACCCATATGTGCAAATAATTTTTGACAAAGGTACAAAAGCAATTCAAAGGAGCAAGGATCGTCTTTTCAACAAGTGGTACTAGAGCAAACAGATACCCACAGACCAAAAAAGAACCTCAACCTAAATCTCACACCTTACACTGTAACTACCTCAAAACAGACTATTGATGTAAGTGTAAAATGTAAAACTATAAAACTTCGGGGGGGGGGGGATTTTGTGAAAAATCTTCAGGACCTAAAGCTTGGTAAAGACTTCTTAGACATGACACACCAAAAACAGGATCCATAAAAGAAAAAAACCAAATAAACTAGCCTTCATCAAACTAAAAACTTTTGCTCTGCTAAAGATCCTGCTGAGAAAATGAAATGACAAGCTACAGACTGGGAATCTATGACACGACATACCTGACAAGGACTTCATTTAAAATATATAAAGCTCTCAAAACTCAAGAGTTAAAAAAAAATCCAATTAGAAAACTGGCAAAAGATATTTTAAAAACATGTCACAAGGGCGAATAAGACCATGAAGAGATGTTCAACATCATTAGCCATTAGTGAAATGCAAATTAAGACCAGAATATCACCACAGACCTATTAATACCAAATACCAAACCCTTTGCCACTGATTGCAACTCGTAACGACCCTATAGGACAGAGAAGAACTGCCTTACAGGGTTTCCAAGGCTGTAATCTTTACAGAAGCAGACTGACACATCTTTCTCCCATGGAGAGGCTGGTGCATTTGAACTGCTGACCTTCTGGTTAGCAGCCATGCCTTAACTACTTTGCCACCAGGGCTCCCCAACCCAAAGACAAACCTCACTGCTGTAGAGTCTATTCTGACTCCTATCTTTAACAGTAGCATTCATTACCAAATGCTGGTAAGGATACAGAGAAACTAGGTATCTCATATACCGCTGGTGGGAACGTAAAATTTCTTTTGCAAGCTTTAAATTTTATAAAGTCAGGGGAAGTAAGTTAACATTAACTTTCATGTTTTCATAGAGACTGTAAACTTTTCTAAAACAAGAACATTGTTTACTGTACTTTCAATTAAAAACTGTGCCCATTCTTTCCCACGGTGTACAGAAAAAATGTATTAGTTAAACATATCACAGGCAAGAGATTTCATGCCTGTCAAAAGCATCTGGGAGAATGAGAGGCAGTATTTCAAGTGTAATGCAATCAAGTTGTCTCATCTCCATTTTCCATCACTTAATGGCAGAATCCTGAAATTCTCATTTTCTGAACAAATGCTCCCAAACAAAAAACAAAACAAAAACCCGGGTGCTGTTGAGTCAACCCTGACTCATGGCGACCCATGTTTATCAGAATAAAACTGTACTCCACAGGGTTTTCAATGGCTATGATCTTTCAGAAGTAGAATGCCAGGCCTTTTTTCGGACAAGCCTCTGGGTGGATTTGAACCACCACCCTTTTGGTCAGCACTCGAGCTTAACCATTTGGGCCACCCAGGGAATCTTCACTCCCAGGGGGTCACTAATTCACACTAGGACCATTTTCTCAAAAGAAAAACAGGAGTCAGCAATTGCCTAATGTGAATTCTTTTCCTCAAATCTGGAATTAAGAGAAAAACTAAGGAATACTCTACTAGGATAAGAATTTACTCTAGGGTAGAGGTATTAAATAATATCTTAAAACCAAAAAACCCATTACTGTCAAGTTGATTCCAACTCACAGCCACCCTACAGGGCAGAGTAGAACTGCCTGATAGGATTTCCAAGAAGTGGCTGGCGGATTTGAACTGCCGACCTTTTGGTTAGCAGCCAAATGCTTAACCACTATACCACCACGGCTCCAAAAACTCCCTTATATGCCACTTGGCAGAGTTTTACTTCAAAATATGCTTTCCATAATCAAAGTGAACCTCCTATGTCGCAAACCAGTGTTTCTACTTCAAGCCTTAAAAATCTGTTAGCACAAAACTTAAACTGCCCTAGTAGTTGTTAGTTGCCCTGGAGTCGATTCCGAACACACGGCGACACCACATGTTTCAGTCTAGAACTGTTCCATAGGGTTTTCAAGCCTGTGATCTTTTAGAAGCATATCACCAGGCCGGTTTTCCAAGGCACCACTAGGTGTGTTTCAATCGTCAATCTTTCAGCTAGTATTCAAGCACTTAATACTATGAATAAATACTACAAGATTTTATAGACATCCAATGTGGCAGTGTGTTCTTAGACATCTAGTTGCAATATCATACATGACAAGCTCCAAGTTTCCTGTATGAAAGCAGACAGTTGTGCTCCAAATAAACATACTAAAAAAACTCCTTCATATTTAGCTCCTAGAATACTGCCAGTCACATGACAATTATTAAATATGTGCTTCATGAGTTAAGTAAATGTGATACACCAAGTGATTTCACAATTGACATATGTAAAAAATTCTGGAGATTTCAGACATTAAAACTACTGGCACTTCTCAACAGGTGTCAGTAGTTCAAGGCCAGCACTTCAGCTGCTGGTCAGAGCACCATGACTAAAATATCCCAGCTATGCAGAGGCAAAAGATTCCTAAACGGATGCCTTCTTGGCACGGGGGTGGGGGATAATTAAAGCAGAGTGGTGCTAAAATCAATCTGGGAAACGATTAGCAAGAGGAAATTACCCTAATAACTAGAGGAATGCAGAGGAACAGTGGTGGATCAACTATTGGCTTATATGTAAAGGCAAAAAGTACAATCACTGTTATCTTCTAAAACAAATGTTGCTTAATAACACCAAATTTTATTCAATCTTAAGAAAATAAAGGATGATTAATCTCTGGAGGTTCTGAAGACCCTAAATTCTGCTAATCCTCACAAAAGATCTTAGCAGAAACCCTGCATTTGGACCAGAGCATAGCTAAGCAATTTCCTGATTACAGAATCAATTTTTCTAAAGCAGCAGACAAGTTTTTTTTCCAACTGAGCCTAAGAAAATAATTTAAGTCTGATGTGAAATGGCAGAAAAACCAATAATTTAGAACATATCCAGGAATGCAAAAAAAAGATAATTTCTTTAAGATTATTCCAGAGTACCAAAGTCAAATTAAAGCTTGTGTTTCTACAATGAAGTCAGTCATTACTAATACTTCACTCAATCCTCCAGCTGCTCCTTGGAAACCCTATGGGACATTTCTACCCTGTCCTATAGGATCCTTATGAGTCAGAATAGACTAGACAGCAACAGGTTTAGTTTTTTTGTTAGGAAAGTGTCTTAGCTTCTTAGTGCTGCTAAAACAGAAATACCACAAATCGGTGGCTTTAACAAACAAACTTATTTTCTCAGTTTGTTGTTGTTGTTAGGTGCTGTTGAGGTGGTTCCGACTCCTAGCAACCCTATGTCTAACAGAACAAAACGCTGCCCAGTCCTGCGCCATCCTTAACAATCGTTGCTATGTTTGAGCCCACTGTTGCAGCCACTGTGTCAATGTATCTTGTTAAGGATCTTCCTCTTTTTCTGTGACCCTCTACTTTAACCGAGCATGATGCCCTTCTCCAGGGACTGGTCCCTCCTGATAGCATGTCCAAAGTATGTGCGACGAAGTCTGATCACCCTCAATTCTAGAGAGCACTCTAGCTGTACTTATTTCAAGACAGATTTCTTCGTTCTTCTGGCAGTAAGTTAGATAGTCTTCGCCAACACTATAATTCAAATGCGTCAATTCTTCTTCAGTCTTCCTTATCCACTGTCCAGCTTTCCCACTGCATACGAGGTGACTGAAAATACCATGGCTTGGGTCAAGCACATCTTAGTCCTCAAAGTAACATCTCATAATTTAAGAAGCTTAGAAGTCCAGACACAGGGCACTGGCTCCAGGGGGAGGCTCTCTCTGTCCATTGAGGGAAAATCTGCCTTTTCAGCTTCTGTGCCTTGGTTCCTTGGTGATCTCCACGTGGCATCTATCTTTCCCCAATCTGTGCTTTTCTCTGTGCCTAATCTGTTCTTTTTATATCTCAAAGGTTTAAGACACACCCTACACTGATATGGTTGCATTAACATAACAAAGAAAATCCTATTCCCAGATGGAATTACATCCACAGGTATAGGGGTTAGGATTCCTACACATATTTTGGAGGGACACACAACTGGATCCATAACACAAAACATGGCAAGATAGCGGTTGTAGAAATTGGTATGACCTTTTTGAAGGGCAATTTAGCAACACCATATGAAAATTTCAAACACTCATATTTCCAGCAATCAATACCGAAGATATACTTGGAAATGTATAATATTAGTAACAAAGAAGACAGCATTAGGCACTGAGCATTTTATGTTAATCCTCCACAGTCTCGTAAGGTGAATACTGTCCAATTTTGCAAATGAGGAAACTGAGGAAAAGAGTGGATAAGTAACTTGCCAAAGATTACTAGTATTTAATAGAAGTGGCACTTAAACTTCAGAGACCGCATTTCTAACTACAGCACCGTGTTGCCTTTCCAGCATGGCTTTTAACAGTAAAAGATTAGGAATAACCTACTTGGCCATAAAGAGGTGACTTTCTAAAAATTGTTACATCCACACAACAAAACACAATGCAGCTTTTAAACAATGACATAAAGCTTGTACTAATATGGAAACTCTCCAAGGTAAGTGCAGAACAACTGGAGTTATTTAAAAACAAAGAGGACTCTCTATATACATATATATTTACAAGCAGTTGCATCACATAAAATATCTGTGGAGTACACACGAAAGTGGTGACATTTGCTACCTCTGAAAAGTGGGTCTGCAGGGAAGGGGAGGCCTACTCTTTTGTACTGTTTGATTTTTTATATGTGAGGTATACATTAGCTATTCAAAGTAAAATCTACTACACTGGAAGTCAAGACACAATTCTGTTTTCCCATCAACTAGCAGGTTAAGCTATTTAAGCTATGAAGTTCAGTTTCCCTGACTATAAAAACCTGGAAGGTTGAAATTTGGTGATTTGCTAACTTTGGAAAACACCAATACCTAACTCAGATAAGACTGGAGCTATCTCTGTGAGGGGTGAAGGGGGGACTCTGGTAAAGAGGTACTTCCAACCTTACATGCTAGAGCCCCCCTCCCGTTTGGTTCTAACATTCTTTGATCAAGGGTTTTACAATCAGACAGTCCCACGTTCAAATCCAGCTACCTCCTTACTTGTTTCGTAATGGTGAATTAAGTTATTTAACATCTGAGTTAGCTTTCTCAACTATAAAATGAGGATGATATTCTCAAAATAAAGTTATGAGATTCAGAAAGAAAAGCATACCTAACACAGTGCCTGGCACACTGGAGATGAAAATAGAACTTCAAGAAAATCTCACAGCAGCACATACACCCGTAAGCATGAGCACGCCTAACAATTCTAACACAGCAATATTTAGACAAAAACAATTTTATTTTTCAAGAATCAAAACATTCCCCCTCTGAATCAAACTATAAAAAATGAAACTTCTCAGAACTTACATATTCTGTAAAACAGGAATTCATTAGGAAAAAAAAATTCTCAACTTTAAGAATACTTTAAGCGTATGCCGCTCTAAGTGGAAAGTTTTACTAACGTGTTGTTTTTATAAACACAAAAAGAAAATAAAGGTTATTCTACCAATGAAAAACGCTACGTCTATTAGTTATGAACTGTTGTCAGTCACGTCAACAATCTACAAACTGTTAAGGGATTTAATCATTGGATATGGCACATGTCCTCATCAGTGTCCTTTCTAAATTAGTTATTAGTTACCCCCAGCATTAAACAAAAATATTTAATAACTCTACAACTTAATGGAAAGCTTCTCCAGCCTGTCTCTAAAATTCTGCATACCTGCACAGCGCACTAGCATTTACACTCCTTTTAAGAAAATAGGATTTTTTTTCCTGAAAGCCAATTATTTTTAACAGTATGAGAGAAAATACTAACTTTCGCTTGCAAAGAGAAGTCGATAATAAACACAAAAGCCTTTACCAAAAAACCTTAAAAAAACGCCAAGCCCGTGTTTTTGAACTCTGGAGACAGTCTAAAAAATTATAAGGTGATTAAACAAACCCTCTAGCGTTTCCTTCTTTCAAACTTAAACAAGGCCGCTAAGTCTGGCAGCACAACCCGACAGTGTCACCCCACACTATCACAGTAGATCATTCGCAAGAAAAGGACACCAAGCATTTGTCACAAACACTCCTCTCCAAAGTGTTCTCTTGAACACCCAGTACCCTTAACCATTACAAAAAAGATTAGAAAAGTTAAGGGGAAAACCAATTATGTTAACTTCCTAAGAATCAGAAGTTCCCTTCATCGCGTATTCTATTGGTCTGTTCAATATTTAATGTTCCCAACGTAAAAATTTCCCTTAAGAAAAAAAAAAAAAAGGCGGCCGGGGGTGTGGGGGGCGCCAGCAGTCACTGGCGAGGGGCCTGGCGAGGAGAACCGCAGGGCCTGCATCTTCCAGACCCTACACCAAGCTCGGCGGCCGGTTGCTGCTCTTCGAGCCTGGCATCGCGGGCGCGGGGCACGCCGCCGCCTGCTCCCGCCCGGAATCCCGCGTCTTCCCAGACAGCCATTTTTACCGAGGAGTAGGCGGCCCGGTCACCAGAGCGGGCTCGTTCAAACCTCCTCCTCTCTCTCCCGGCCCGCGTTTCCTCCGCCTCCTCGGAGAGATCGGGGACCAGCTGCCCGAGTAACTAACTGGCAGAATGACTGCTTTTGTCGGTTTTGGAATGGACCAAAACCATTTGTTCTCGAACAAGCGATGATGCCGGCCTGGCCTGCGCGGGTCCCGGCCGCGGGCGGGTTCGGGGCAAAGGGGCCTGGGAGAGCGGCGCCACTGCTCCCGGCGTCCGAGGGTGGCGGCGAGGGCCCCGCCCGGGGGCACAGCGGGTGCTGCCTTCTCTCTCGCCCTCCGGCCCCCCAGAATCCAGCTCCCCGACGGCAGGACGGCGGGGAAGCGGTGGGGGAAGGGAGCCGAAGGAAAATAAGCGGTCGGCTGAGTTTCTTACCTTGCTCTCCACCGGGAGTAGGGCCAGACTGGGTGGCCCGGGGAGGGGAAAAGGGTTGGGGGAGGGGGCGGGGAAAGGGGGGAGCCCTTGTGTGGTGTAGCTTCGGAGCAGCTCCTGCCGCCGCCACAGCCGCCGCCTCCTTTCCGATTCACTCAAACAAACAAGATGGCTGCCGTTACGCCGCGGCTCTTCCTGCCGCCCAAAAGCTCGGTTCAAATCGGCAGGATGTTTACGGTCAAAATGGTACCTGTGCGCCTGCGCAGCCAGCCTAAGCACTGGAAGGCGCGGCGCAGGCGCAGTGACCACTTCCTTTTCTTTGGACCCTGCCCACTGCCTGTGGGGCCCGGAACTGAGCAAGCACAAAGGTGATTCTCTTGCCCAAGGGTCTTCTTGTGTTGCAGAGGGAGCAGTTTGCGCACGCGCAGTGCCTGCCTGTGAAGTGAATCGTTGGGTTTCGCTTTATTTTTGTGTTTGTTTTAAGGGAGAGAAATTTCGTTGTACAGTTTTGTGTGCACGTGAGACAAAAATTCATTTTAATGGTTCTACAGCAACGAAGCTAACATGAAAACTTAAAACTAACTTCACATAGGTAGTGCTTCATTCATTCAGTCAGCCTGGATCTATAGAAGGTCTTCGGTGTGCCACACAATGTGCTCGCTAGGCTCTAGGATACAACGATGAATACAATAGAAATAGTACCTGCCCTCATGAAGCTTGCAGATGATAGGGAAGCATCTTAACATTTTTGCAAGTACTTAACTTGTGCCAAATATAGAGGGAGATCTGATAGTGGAGAAGGAGGGGGAACGGGAGAGAAAGTGGAGGAAGTCTTCCCTCAGGAACTGATGGTGGAGCAGGGATGTAAAGGCTGACATGTTACAATGACAAGAGAGCTGGATGGGTGTTGAAAAGAGTTTCAGGGAAAGGGCACAACATGTACAAACGTCCTGTGGCAGACAGCAAGATGGGGATGTTGTTGTTAGTATCTGTCTAGTTGGCTCCAACTCATGGCGACCCTGTGTGCAGAGTAGAACTGCACTCCATAGGGTTTTCAAGGCTGTCCCCTTTCAGAAGCAGAATACCAGTCCTTTCTTCCAAGGCACTTCTGGGTTGATTTGAACGCCGACCTTTGGCTAGTAGGTCCAGCACTTAACGGTTTGTGACACCCAAGGACTCCTAAGATGGGGATAGAGGAAAGGAAGGAACGCCTGGATGGTTGGGCACAAAAGGAGGCTTCTGTGTTTTGGAAAGATCACCCTAGCATATTGCCACGGGTACAGTGAATGTTCAGATGCAATTGTTGTTCAGTTGAGGGATATATATATATGTGTGGAAATAAAATCAATATATATATGTAGATATGTATGAGGAAATAAAATCAATAGGAATTGGTGACCGATTCATTATGGAGGTGTGGGAAACGGAATTGTATGGATATTTCCTGGGTCTAGGGCCTGCAGAATTGGATGGACTGGACTGTAGTACCATCCACTGAAGCAAGGCATATGGATGAGGTCATGTGAAGTTTTATGTTTGTTTTTGTTGCTGTTGTTTTGCTTTTTTTGTTACCCATCTCAATGTCAAACTTCCATTTGCTCTTTCATTGGCCTCCTTACTGGTCTCCCAACTCCACTCTCCCATTAACAATAAAATTCCTTACAATAGGAAATTCAGTGTCTGCCACTTTAAAATAATCTGTTTAAGTGTTGTTCAACTGCTAAATGACCTCCTAAAACTAATCAGTTGAAAAAAGTCTCTTGTCAGGTTAAGGATACATTGCATGGTGAATCCTTCTTTGTTAATTTAACATTTCAGTTTAAATCTGTCTCAGGTTAAAACTGTGGTGGGATGGATATGCATTACCACTTCCTGTCTTTCTTATCTTAAATTAGCTTTTAGAGTTTTTTGTCTGTGGGATCATGTATATTTCCTCTGAATTTGAATAAGAACAATTCTGTTCTCCTAATTTCTAGTGACAAGTCTGATTATAACACTTACATCAACAGGCTTACTTTTTCTATAAGACATTTATTTCTCTACTCTTAGAGGATGGTTATGAACATGAGCTTTGGGTTCAAATTCTAGTTTTCTACTTCCCAGGTGTCCTACCATGTGCAATTTACCTAACTTCTCTGGGCTTCAATTTCTTTATCTATAAAAATGGGATAATACCTGCTTTTCAACATTATTGTAAAAATTAAATGAGGTCAGGTATACAAAGGGCTTAGCATAATGCTTGGAACTGAGAAATTATCCATTCAATGAATGGTGGATATTACTCTAACTCCTTCTAGCTTCTGAGTAATGAAATAGCTAGCAAGGTATGGCAAATATTTATCAAATGTTCAGCTTTTAAGAACATCAGTAAATATCCAGATACTCTCAATGCCCCATCCTGACAATATCTTACTCTATGCCTATTCTGCTGCAATCCTTTTTAGAAACAATTACTCTGTCTCACTCTCATCAGTAGTCAGTATGGAACTCCCATGGTACTATCACTTCTTTTCTCTTGAACCATTTGTTTCAACCCAATAGCTCTCTTCTCCTAGCCCATCTTTCCATTTTACGGGTTTTCACATAGTTTTTTTACGTACAACCCTAGCCCAAGCTGCACTGAAGACATTGGCGAAAAATAAGTCTCTAGGAATTGATGAAATACCAATTGAGATGTTTCAACAAATGGATGCAATGCTAGAAGCACTCACTTGTCTATGCCAAGAAATTTGGAAGACACCTACCTGGCCAACCACATTTGTGCCCAGTCCAAAGAGAGGTGATCCAACAGAATGTGGAAATTATCTAACAATATCATTAATATCATATGTGAGTAAAATTTTGTTGAAGATCATTCAAAAATGGTTACAGCAGTACATTGAATGGGAATTGCCAGAAATTTAAGCTCGATTCAGAAGAGGATATGGAACAGGGGATATCATTGCTGATGTCAGATGGATCTTGACTGAAAGTAGAGAATACCAGAAAGATATTTACCTGTGTTTTATTGACTATGCAAAGGCATTCGACTGTGCAGATCCTAACAAATTATGGATAATGTTGAGAAGAATGGTGTCATGGATTGAATTATGTCCCAAAAAATGTGTGTGTCAATTTGTCTGGGCCATGATTCCTGGTATTGTGTGATTTTCTTCTATGTTGTAAATCCTGCCTCTATGATGTTAATGAGGGAGGATGGGTGGCAGTTGTGTTAGGAAGGCAGGACTCAGTCTACAAGATTGGATTGTGTCCTGAGGCAATCTCTTGAGATATAAAAGAGAGAAGTGAGCAGAGAGATGGGGAGACCTCATACCACCAACAAAGCAGTGCTGGGAGCAGAGCATGTCCTTTGGACCCGGGATTCCCGTGCGGAGAAGCTCCTAGTCTGGGGGAACATTGATGAGAAGGCTGACAGAGAGAGAAAGCCTTCCCCTGGAGATGACGGCCTGAATTTGAACTTTTAGCCTACTTTACTGTGAAGAAATAAATTTCTCTTTGTTAAAGTCATCTACTTGTAGTATTTCTGTTGTAGCAGCACTGGATGACTAAGACAGAATTTGGTACTGATAGAGTGGGGTGCTGCTCTAACAGATACCTAAAATGTGGAAGCGGTTTTGAAACTGTGAATGGATAGAGGAGCATCAGTGGCAGAGGACCAGCAACAGCAGAGAACCTGCAGCGGCAGAGAAACAGCAGTGGCAGAGAGGCAGCAGCAGTAGAACAAGGAGACCACTGCGAGAGGGCGCTGGAGCTGACCCACGGAGAGAGCTGAGTGCCTGTGCGCACAAGGCTTCCTGGCAGAGTGGGGTGCCTCTGGGCACTTAGCAGTGGAGCTACAGAGCTTTGGAAAGCTTGCCCCAGCATGGCAGACGCGGGCGGACCTGAGGCTGGAGGAGCTGCGAGGCTAAAAAACCAGGAAGCAAGCTGAAGGGATAAGAAACACAAGAAGCTGAGTTGCCTCAGTCTCAAAAGATATGGCCAGGCCATGACCTCAGAGGTTTCAAAGGGTGGAGCCATGGCCTCTGGTGTTTCTAAGGGTGGAGTCGCCACTCAGATGGACTGGGAGAATGGTGTGCCTAAAGCCGAGGGAGCAGAGTTGCCTTCCCAGTGGGCCTGGAAGGTGGAGCTGAAGCTCAGGGCCGAGGGACTTCTACTCAGAATCCGGAGACTGTGGCCAATACCTAGAGTCTGGAGGGCAGGGCCATTGTTTAAATTGTCTCAGAGAACAGAGATTATTTTCAAAGCCTGGAGGGCTGATGTAATATGTTCTGCTGACTTGCTTGGTGCCTGTTATCCAGTTTCTTGCATTCACAATGGAAATGTCTAGCTTGTGCCTGTTCCGCCATTGTACCTTTGGAAGCAGATAACTTGTATTCTAGATTTCACAGATGAAGAGGAATTTCTGGATTTTGGACTTGAATTTCAGACTTTTGCTATGTTATGATGGGGTGAATATGTTTTCCATGTTGCAAGGATGTGATTTTTGGGGGGCCAAAGGGTGGAATGTCATGGATTGAATTATGTCCCCCCAAAAATGTGTGTGTCGATTTGGCTGGGCCACGATTCCTGGTATTGTGTGATTTTCTTATATATTGTAAATCCTGCCTCTATGATGTTAATGAGGGAGGATGGGTGGCAGTTGTGTTAGGAAGGCAGGACTCAATCTACAAGATTGGATTGTGTCCTGAGGCAACCTCTTAAAATATAAAAGAGAGAGGTGAGTAGAGAGATGGGGGAACTCATACCACCAAGAAAGCAGTGCCAGGAACAGAGCGTGTCCTTTGGACCTGGAGTGTCCATGCGGAGAAGCTCTTAGTCCAGGGGAACATTGATGAGAAGGCCAATGGAGAGAGAAAGCCTACCCCTGGAGCTGATGGCCTGAATTTGGACTTTTAGCCTACTTTACTGTGAAGAAATAAGTTTCTCTTTGTTAAAGCCATCCACTTGTGGTATTTCTGTTGTCGCAGCACTAGATGACTAAGACAAATGGGAATTCCAGAACACTTAATTGTGCTCGTGAGTAACCTGTGCATAAAT